TGTTCATACAACGAATAAATTAAATAACAATAATAACGAATTCATTGATCAGGTGTTAGACGCGGGACAAGTGGTTGAGTACGACATTCCCCACCATTTGTTGGACACAAGCGATGGTCTGTTCAGCAAATTAGTGAAACAGACGGGAAATCACATGACTATTAGATTGAAACAAATGGCGAAACAATACTATTATCACAAAAATGGTATTAATTTTGATGAAAAAGACAACGAAAATGAAGAGGAAGTGGACAGCGATTGCAAAGAAGAGTGATTTAATGAATTCGTTATTATTGTTATTTAATTTATTCGTTGTATGAACAATATTTTTAATTATGTTATTTAAATTAAATGTTTTGTTCGGATACATTCGTTACCATCATTAATTTAAGAAATGTAATCTAGTAAATTAATCTTATAAATTGTCACAACGAATTGTAGTTAAAACCAACAGAATAGAAATAACTTATGGTTTGGGTAACCATTCCGAGTCCATGGAATCGCATTACTATACTTTCAAAACTTATTTTCATGTCATTTATTAACACATTAACATTTGCATAATATTTAGAATTAATGATACAATGTATACATTGTATGTATTTCTTGTATTAATTAGTTGGGTGTGGAGTCTATTCATCCGGGAACACAAAAAGAACCTCGAGTTCAATGAACTCTACCGGTTATAATAATTTAATAAATTACCATTTATGAATATTTAAGTTTCTTAGGAATGCATGTGCCTGTTCTTTATGAGGAGGTTACACTGTATTTCAAAAGTATAAAATCGAACCCAAATCAATTACACTTATAATATTTATATAAAACAACTACATTTGTAATGTATACTCACTTACTATTAATTATAAAATTATATTACATTTTCAATTAATTTTTATGTTATTTTATTCCAATTATTTGTTATTCTATACTAACAGCCATTATGAAGTTCGGGATTAATTAAATGCAATTTAATATAAAGTTGCAATGTTTATGTTAATTAGTGGACAGTTATTAAGCCATTAGCCGCATATACACTATAATTAAACGTATAAACACCACTTTTAAATGCAACTTAAAATTGTACAATTTTAATACGTAATTGTAAAGGTAATTTTAGTTTAAAATAATACGATGGAAACAAGTGGCTTGATAACCATTCCGAGTCCATGGGATCGCATTAACATATTTTCAAAACTTACATTCAGGTAATTTATTACAAATCTATAATATTATTATATTTCATATCCTAATGTATTTTCTATATGAATTAGTTGGGTGTGGAGTCTATTCATTCGGGCGCACAAAAAGGACCTCGAGTTCAGTGATCTCTACCGCTGCCCAAAATCAGATGAGACACATCGGGTCCGACAGAAGTTGCAGATGTAATACAAAAATATTTTCATTATTAAAATTTTGTAACTCTTTTCATGTAAAGACTCGGTAACAAAGGTTTGCTTCAAAATACAAGTCATGATTGACTCGTCAGACCCATTGTATTGACAGACAGCCAGAGTTGTTATAACTTATAAGTTATAACATAAACATCGGTCTTATATTTTGAGACAAACCTTTGTTACCAAACTTTATTTGTATAGCAAATGGGATAACCAATTGAAAAGTAAAGGAAAACCATCACTATTTTGGGCACTATTCGCATCGTACGGACTCGAACTCATTGTCCTCTATATCCCCGATGCAATTAGGGTATTATATAGATAAATAATAATTAGCTATACACAAATAGTAGTAATATGAATATAATAAATATTGTAATTAAACAGGAATTGGGACTGAATTTGTTTCAGGCGTATTGCATAGTATATTTGGTGAGATATTTCAACGATGATCCCAACACTAGCCAGTGGTGGGCCATATGGGCGGCCGCGGGTATTGTGTTGTTGTCTATTGTTAACATGTTGATCCAACATTTAACTTTGGTCTCGTGCAGCAAAGTGGCTGTCAGAACTCGTGCCGCCTGTTGTGCTTTAATCTACAGTAAAGTCTGTTCCCATATGAGTGTATATTTTGTAATATTTTAAACCATAATTATAAACCAATATATTTTGCTGTATATGATATATCAGTTGTGCTTCAAACGCAATGCACTGTATTTGAAGGGATTGTGAATACGTAGAGGGATTCCAATTGTTATAATTAAATAGTGTTTTTTCAATTAAAGTGTAAATCACTTGTTTTTTATATAAAAAATGTGCTCATATCTTAACATTTGAAATAAATAATGTGACCTGGAGTTAATCCTAATGTTTTGAATAAAAATATTGTTTGTTCAAAACCGGTTTTATGTGTATGTTTTAATCCTAAAAAATATATGTTACATTTTCTTGAAAATAAGAGGATGATTCATAACACTATATTCCGTCCCATTCCGGACTCTGATTCCCTGTACACTGTAGGGAATTAAAAAACAAACAATATATTGCAAATCTATTGTGGTTAACGCAAAGCATAGCTTGTGATTCTTGTTTAATAGATTGTTGTATTCGTTTGTAGTCTATGCGGTTGAGTCATACATCACTCGGACAGACAACTGTTGGCCAGATATTGAACATTATGTCCAACGATGTCAACAGATTTAATAGTGTAAATTGAATATTGATAATTAAAGGCCTAAGTTGAAATAATTATAATGATTCTGTTGTTATTTTAATAAAATAGTTTGCAAATAATTCCCGGACATTGTTTGTGGCGCCACTGCAGGCGGCGATTGTGTTGTACCTGTTGTGGTCACACTTGCGGTGGGCGTGTTTGACGGGAATGGGAATACTCGTGCTGTTTATACCATTTCAAGTACTAATGGGTCGTATGTTTCGGAGTATACGCCAAAACACGGCTAAATTAACTGACAGTCGAATCCGTTTAATGCAAGAGATTATCGCCGGAATGCGTGTCATAAAGATGTACGCCTGGGAACAGCCCTTCGCACAGTTGGTCGCAACCGCTCGCAAGTAATCACACAAATTATAATATATTAATGATTATAAATAACTAAATAGTTTGTGAATATGAAACAAATAATATTGTTAATACTAGGGCTGAAGTGAAACAAATTAGTTTTTCAAATTTTTTGAAAGGCGTCAATACTTCGATTTATTTTGTGATAATACGGGTTATAATATACGCCTGTTTTCTAACATATATACTGATGGGTGGGATGTTGTCGGCGGAGACAGCCTTTGCCACTATTGCTTACTGTAATGCTATGCGTTGGACAATAGGATATGATGCACCCCGAGCTATAGCCGCACTCAATGAACTAATTATAGTTATCAAACGTATCCAGGTAGTTGTGATACTTTATGAATTTAAATATTTGATAAATGTAACTTTATTTCAAAAATACAATTACTTAATTCTACAGAATTTTCTATTACTCAAAGAGACGAGTGGTTTGAATGAGAAGGAAGGGAAAGACAACGAGGCGTTCATTTCGGGAGGAAATGATATAATTCTCGGAGTTATGGAAAACACTTCGAGTAATGAAGAAAAAGGCGTTTTTATGGACAAAATGAGCGTTCGTTGGAATAATGTATGAATTCTTTGATGTCTTTCAACACGTGTTTAGAGTTTTACGAATACATTAGGAGACGACTGAACCCACGCTTCGGGACATTAGTCTGAGTGTAAAACCCGGCGAACTGTTGGCTGTCGTCGGATCCGTTGGCAGTGGAAAGGTATGGGTTTTTATACAATATTTTTAAATATTATAATTAAAAATTATTTATTAACTAAAAGTAGAGCTCATTATTGATGGCAATACTGAATGAGATATCTGTAGTGTCGGGTCGTGTGGTAGTGAGGGGTCGGGTGTCGTACGCGCCGCAGGAGTCGTGGGCTTTCATAGCGAGTGTTCGACAGAATATTCTGTTTGGCTCTCAATATANGTCGTACGCGCCGCAGGAGTCGTGGGCTTTCATAGCGAGTGTTCGACAGAATATTCTGTTTGGCTCTCAATATAATGAAGAGAAATACAATCGAGTGGTGAAGGCGTGCGCTTTGGACACAGATTTCAAACTCTTCCCATTCGGCGACCAAACTCTAGTCGGCGAGAGAGGGCTGGCATTGAGTGGCGGACAGAAGGCTCGGCTGAGTCTGGCCCGGGCTCTGTACCACTCGGCAGACATCTACCTCTTGGACGACCCTTTGAGTGCTGTCGACACACATGTGGCCAAACATCTCTTTCAGAAGTATATCATATAATAATTAATAAAATTATATTTAATGTGTTTCCTATTAATTAGATGTTGTGTTGAATACCTAAAAGACAAGACAAGGGTTTTAGTGACCCATCAAATCCAGTTTCTCAAAGGCGCGCATCAAATACTTGTGCTCAACGACGGCGAGTGTGTGGCTATCGGGTCCTACACTCAGCTCAAAGAGCGCGGCATTGATCTCATGGCATATCAGAGACAAACTGATGCAACAAATGATAGGAGATGTGTAAAGAGAAGCACTTCATTCACTCCATCATTAATCTCATCCATTAGTGAGGGATCGGAAGTGACGGACGTTAGGGAACCGATAGAAGTGGACGAACAGGAAGTGAAGGCCGAACTCAAAATGATTGGATCCGTTGAGTCCACTGTATATATGGATTACATTAAGGCCGGCGCCGGACCTCTGCTCACAACACTTACCATTTTGTTTATTATTATTTCACAAGTTCTCTATCAGGGAAGCGATTATTGGTTGAGTGTATGGTTAGAGATTCTATCGTATTCTTTATTACTATTAATTTTAATTTTTAAAAATACATTAGGACCAATCAAATGAGTGAAACCTTCACAAAGGTAGATCAAACATTCAACATAATAGTGTACACGAGTCTAATCATTGGTCTGTTTGTGTCGGCCCTGTTGTCCACCATTTGTTTCTACATAATGTGTATGAGATCTTCGGTTAATCTCTATAACCGAATATTCTATGCATTATTGCGATCACCGATACATCTGTTCGAGAGTTCGCCCATCGGTTACACTATTAACACATTTGCTATCATTTTAATGATTAATAAATCAATTCATTTATAATTCATTTTTAGGACGAATTTTAAACAGATTTTCAAAAGACACGGGAATTATTGACGAAGAGTTACCATCGATTGCCTTTGAAGTGATAATTGTAAATTAGAAAAATTAATTTAATTTAATTATAACACTTTTATAAATATCTATAGAATTTATGTTTAATTATTGGTTCTCTAATACTTAATGCAATCGTCAGTTGGTTTCTGATAATTCCGGCAATACTTTTGTTGATATTAGTGTTTATTTGCCGTTATTTCTATATCAAAGCCGCGAGAGATATAAAGCGTATGGAAGGGTTGTGTAAGTTTTACATCAATTAATTTTATAAATTATTAAATTAAATCTTTGACTTAATGCATAGCCCGGAGTCCGGTGTACTCTCACGTGAACACAACGCTGTGTGGGCTGACATCGATCCGTGCGTTTGGC